CGTGCATCAATTTCATTAGATATAAAGAACTTTTATAACTGGAACCAAGTTCATAAGAAAACCAATACTAACGCGTTTCCGAAAATATCCTTGACTATCAGGTGAAAACCTTCAAAAGAGAATCTGAATTCCTATTGAAATTTATCCTTTTCTTGCACGTTTTACTTCTGTTTCCCTGTTTTTGTGATTGTAATTTGAACGAAATCCATTTAAAAGACTTCGTTTTGTGAGCGCTTGCTACGAAAATTTCGCATTTTAACTTCCCTTATTGTGCGGCGATTTCGAGTATTTTGAAAGCTTTTTCTATTCGCAGAAACTGCACTCGAGAAATTCGAAACTCAAGACTTTCTGATTTAAACCGTGATCTCATTGTCTCGATATTAAATACAATACAGCTTCAAATTATTCAGATTTTAGATATTCGGAACTCCAATGATCCAGTCGTTTGTTGTCTCTAGGTCAAATAAAGTTAAGCTAACTTTTAATTTATTTGTTTTTACTCTTTTCATCGATTTTAACTAACGTAAAAAACATAAAATAGCGCAGAACATATTTTTAAGAATTTATTAAACTAATTTACAGAAACTCGTACAAATGTTGCATCGACTTCCAGTAATAGACAAGTACGTAGCTTGTAAATATTAATGCAAAAACAGTTACATTTTTGCCTTTTCTTTAAAACCCCAAGTTTATTGAAAACTATAAACACCATACTGTCTCGGAGGATTTCTTTCTTTTATTTTTGTACCCTTTATCCCTTTACCTTTCACAGTTATTTGTAGATATCACCTCTTGAAAACATTTTTTTCTGATGTCTATTAGTAACAAATTCTGATAAAACATTTCGCCTATTTGGTCCAATAGCATTAATATGAGGAAAACTTAATCTTACGTGTTAATGGTTGGCGATATGTTAATATAAAGAAAGTTGGGTACCTATGTATTATCCTGTCGACAGTGAAAGTTAGCTGTCATCGAACCAGGAAATTTGGCGGAGATCCTGCCTAAGTTACGCTAATTATTCCAGTGGAATTCTGAAGGAATTAACTCCTCTTTATATAGTAAATAATCAATTTTCGAACCACTTCGTTTTTGCGCTTTGTAAAAAGACTTTCGTCTATTTCTGCTATTTTCTTAAGTCCTTCGATTTTACCGGAAGCTCTGTTTAGAAAGCTATGTGCAACTCTCCGCAAATTTCTCCAATCTATGACTGTTCTGTCGGCCATATTTAGTTAGCCATATCGTGACCATTACACACACTTTTCTGACGGTAGGATCCCATAACCTTGAAAATAATCCACATCTTGTTGCTCTGTAAAAGGCAGATCTCAAATTTTAATATCTCTTTTTTTTCAAAATGCAAGAAAATATGCAGCAATAGCAGTTAATTTATATCCTACGGCTTACCGAGAATCAGTCAGGGTTGCATCAAACGAAACCGCAGATATTATGAGTGTGTTATTACGTTACGTTTATCCATAACTGGCGCTAAATCATGCTGCTTGGCGACACCTTCACTAACGACAAGATAAAACGTAATCTCCACAAATTTTTCATGCAAATTTTTGTTCTTTAACTCATTAAAGTACAGCAAATTTTAACTCTGTGAAGACTGAAAGAAACTGAATTTTATTTTTCCGAATTTCTTCCACCACACGGGTCTGGAACAATTTTCATAAAATTCTCTGCTTTTATATAAGGAAATTTAAAAGCTGTCCAGACGGTACAGCGGTTATGGAAGCCTACTGCGGTAAGGAAGGGTCCGGGTTGAATCCTGAATAAAGTAACCATTTGAAACTACAAGGAGAGGGAGGGATGACTCGTGGAGGGCGTTTAAGGGAAACTAACTCGTATTCACGTTACACATGGGAAAAACCACGAAATTGCCCTTGCACCCAGCCCGTTCCTCGGGGCTCGAACCCGGGCTGAAATACAAGTGCTCAGTGGCTTTTACCACTTGACCGCTGGTGGGCATATTAAAAAAATGCTTTGGTTTACAGCGGGAATCAATTCCGCTCTTACCAGAGCTTATCAGAGAATCCCACGAGGGGCCTCACACGTAAGAGTTCATCAAATTGGTCCACCATAAAGGTGTGTGCCTTAAGATAAAATATAGTCAAAATAAGAAAACTATGAGACGCATTGTCTCCGAAATCTCACTGGCTGGTGAGGATGCGATGACAGAAGACTAGCATTGTCCTATCAGGGGGTGTGGAGGCAGTCCTATGACTCCTGAGCTACTGAAAGTTTTTAAGTCCAATAATTGCAATAAAATTAATACGAAGGTTACACAAGTTGATCTTGTTTCTGCGTTTTTGCGCTATATAAAAGAAAAAGCTGCAAATGGCGAAAATATCAGCAAAGCCGGCGAACGTGTTCTGCGTAGCTTCATCATAAAATTTAGCATTTATTCTGTGCAGAAAATCAGAAATAAGTTCCACTTTCAGGTCAGCATGCAGACTTTTGTTTCTAACGTAGTATGGAGCTCCGGTGATTATCTTGAGAATCTTGTTTTTAATTTTTTGTAGGGAAATAGATGTTAATTTTACTCGCACTTGCCAAGGTATGCGAGGCGTATGTAAGAATAGGCCGGATGAGAGAGGTGTAAATTTGCCTTTTACGATAAAGTGACAGGAGCTGATCCTTTAGAAGTGGATATTGTTGTATATTTTACACCTCCGAATGTTAAGAGATGCAATGATTAATATGATTTCCCTTTTCCTTTATTAGCTTGTGTTCGCCTCTCAGAGCGTTAAATGACGTAATCTATGTTTTTGGGCAATCTGCCAACTTTAAGTTCTGAACTTCAGTTACAGAGTTGTATTAATGTTGATCGCTGCTGTATTCTGATTGCTTACATTTCCATTCTCTTAATAAAAGCTGTTATCCCTGCAATGAAATTATAATTCAATTTATTTTATGTAACAGATATAATCTCAAGGCTACTCCCCACGCCTTGCTGCGCATCGTAAACTAATTCTGGAGGATAGTTTCCTTTTTCATTTGTTTATATTGTTGCAGGGAATTCTACCACCGCTTTTATATCTCCACTTGCTGCTTCTCCTATAATCTGTATGTTATGAAGATTACTTTAGTGTTTTAAATCTATTAAACTGTCCTTGACTTGAAGAAAAGTTCCAGTTGTATCACCTCAATCTGAATGTGATTAAAAAATTTTCTTGCCTTTTCCATTATAATAGTTTCCCTTAATGGCATATTGCGTTCAGTTTCGTTATCAATCCATATAGAAAATGGTTTTTACATCTGCTCTATCATATCATTTCTAAAACAGATTATTCTAGTTGCAAAGGTTTTTGTGGTTGTAATTGATGACCCTTTTTTCTTTATTCTTAAAAACTGCCCTGTTGAAGTTGACATATTCAGTGTAACACCAATTTGACATTGAGGTTCACCACTATCTTCTAAGCACTTCCATTTTAGTTTCTAATGAAATGCTTTTTCTCGTCACTTTATTATCACCTATATTAGAAGATAAAAATTATAATATTTATGACTGTATCAGTCATTAAATTACATAAATTTATACTTAAGAAACAGCAGCAAATGTTTGAAATAATAAAAATACGTTTGTGTATGAGGGTAAGTTCTCGGCCTGACACTGAAAGACTGCAACTTTCAGTTAAGAAAAGATTTTTTCTACATAACCTTCCTTGACTTCAACACACTTGGTCTAGAATTCCTCCAACATCAGTATTCCTTCCCGGAAGTAAGAGTCTGGAAGGTTGTGAAAATATTCATCTATGACCCTCTCAACTTCTTCATTGGATGCAAAGTGCTTCCCAGAAACAAATTTCTTCAAGTTTGGGAAATTTCTTTTAGTAATTATCTTTGCATCTAATTAGTGTTTTGACATGCTGTAAAACTATTTCTCTCTAAATCAGACAGTCCATAAGAAAAAGATAAGAAAGTGTAAGATATTTGTATTGACAAGAGAAATTATAATAGAATGAGTATTTATAACAGAGACAAGCATTTAGCATCGCACGGGCACAGCATAGGGCCCACCAGCGACTGAGCAGTCGCTAACACTGGTAGTTTGATCCGAGATTCAAGTCCCCAAATGAGCTAGCTACGTGGGTGTTTTCATGGTTTTTCCCCATGTCTAATGTATATACAAGCCAGTTTCCCTTAGAAAGTCCTCTAGGTTTTTCCGCGATCTCAATAAACCAAACTCATGACCACAACAACAATCTTTGATTAAATACACTTCCTTTAATTTTCAAAACATGAATTGATATTAATTGTGATGGCCAAGTGCATCCCCCCCCAAAAAAAAAAAACTTGGAAAAAAACTTATTATTTTTTATTCTGGTACCATTTGATTCATTAGTGTCATCTAATATGGTCCTATTGAGTAATGGACTTCATATATGGCTGTATATCAAAAATAAATTTTCAAAAAGTTCTAGAATGTACATGAAGAAGTTCTAGAATATAGCCAAACTTGAAATTTAACGGAAAAGACAAAAGAGAAAACAGTGACAAAGAGGTTTTGTTACTTAAACTGTGAGGAGAAACATTCTAGTATTTAGCATGCACAAAAACTTTGAAGGGCTTCTCCCCCTTAATAAAATCCATTTAGAACAGTTACATATAATTTTCAGTTTACTGTTGGTAAAGGCTGCAAGTAGGCATAGATCTTAGGATTTTAGGTATAAATAATGCTGAAGTTTTTCTTCTCATTGATATGTATTTTTTGCTTAATTGTCATATAAATAAGCATTATGTGGTAAAATGTATTTGAGATACCTATGTTACTTGATATTTTTTACAGAACTTTTTTTGTAGTTTATATGTTAATTTAATGAATCCATTTACATTTCATCTAAATAGTTTTTGATTATTTCTATAGTGATTGATATTTATTGCTAATTCAAGTAGTAGTGTGTTTGAAGCTTAACATGTTTCATTTCTGTATTATTACAGTATGATTATGAATGTGATGAAAATTACAACACTGTAATTGTTTTATGTTTTAGGAGAACATGGCCGACAAGACTCTATGGATTTAGATGATAAATGGAGCAATGAATGTCACTGCAAACCCAGTGCCAACTTGAAGCCTCTTGAAAGGAGACGTAAAAGAGAACATCAAAGATGCTTAGCTCATTCTTTAGTGGGAACTCCTAATTATATTGCTCCTGAAGTCTTGCTCAAAACAGGTAAATATTTCATAGCTGTAGTATATTTATCTAATTGTTTAATGCAAAAGTTACTGAATATTTATGAATGTTCCATTATTTTTCTGTCAGTATTTAATAACTTCTTAATTTGCAAGATTAATTGAAAACTTGTGTTCTTGGTATTATAATATTAATATATTTAAAATACCAGCAAGAATGCGTGGAAGTTTCCTATTCATAATTTTTGGGATTTTTTAATTCAAACTTACGACTGCATATTTTTAAATTGTAAGGTAAATCAAAATTTTTCCTTTAGCATTTGAAAATAAAATGTTCATACATTTTAATAATAATATTTAAATTGAAATTAAGCTATCTCAAGACATCTTACTTGTTTGTGAAAATATGTTTGGGGACAGCATTATTATTATTATTTTCTTTGTGATTAATACTTGCTAGAATGTCAGAAGTATCATAACATTTTGATGTCCTCTGTTTTTATTACTTTGAATTATAAGATATTTCCAGAAAAATTAATTTGGTTCTTATTCCTGTTAACCTTCCAGCACATGCGTCATGCACAAAGTTTATGACATATTCAGTTTTTAATGAACAGTTTTCGCATATTGCAGTTGAAACATCTGAAAGTCATTTCTATTCTCCCTTTCAACCATTCCCCACATCATAGAATGTGCCAACAAGATGTCTTATGCTTCTCTCTCTTTTTTTTTTTTTTTTTACTGGGCTTATGTGGTAACTTCTTCATAGAAGTTATGACACATGCGTGGTCGTGGGTGAAAATTCTAAAAAATTTTTTGTCAAATATTTTGTGCTACTAATTGACGTGCATTATTTTAATTTATATAAATTCGTCTCTGTATTTTTTTGGCAAAACAATATCTGCAACCAGCTGATTTTGCTCGCATTCTTCAAGAAGTATCTGATGAAGAAAGAAAAGACAAGGAAACCTTTGGATGTGAGAACAATATCGATTTGAGTGAGGAAAATATCAAGATAAATAAGATCAGCAGTGAATCTGAACAATAAATTTCGGATGATGATGATAATAATGATATAGAAAAAAAGAAATGATGATGATATGTTCTATGTTTGTAAGGATAAATCTTCTAAGTGGCGAAAACAGAAGTACGCAAACTGTTCCAAGTCGAATAAAATGAATATTGTGAAAGTGCTACCTGGCCTAAATCACCATACCAAGGATATAGAAGATGAAATAGGATCATTTTTGAAAATAATAAATGTAAATATGCTTGATGAAATTTTGGAATGTACAAATAAATATATAAGTTTGCTAAAAGGCAAATACTCAAGAGACAGAGACTGCACTGTTACCTCAAGATTGTAAATGATGGCACACTTTGGATTGTTATTTACAATAGGAATAAAAAAAGGACAACATGTAAATGTAAAAGAATTTTTCTGAAGTGATGGTACTAGAACTGAAATAACAAGGGATGTGATGAGCTACAACAGATTTTTATTTCTGACAAGTTGTCTTAGATTTGATGATAAATCAACAATACAGGACAGATGAATATTAAAACTGGCTTGGAGTTTAAAATATAGTTATTAAAGAGTAAATTTAAAATTTTCTATAATGAAATACATAATTGTCTTTTCACCTGACTAATATAAGCATTTAAAAATAATTTGATTTGAATGTGTCATTATTTTTATTTTGCAATAATAAGGTTAATATTTTATTTCTTAACAAATTTATTATCAATATTCACCCATTTATGTCATTTTTCATGTCAAAAATGGTAAAATAACAGATGCCTTAAAAATATGACATGTACGTGCTCATGTAAAATTGCCAAGCGTGAGTGCTGGAAGGTTAGGGGGGGAGAGCAAAAATTGTTAGATGATTTTGAGGTCAGTAGTTTGCGTTATATAAGGGTTTCTGCAAAAGCATTGAATTTATTTCTGGGGCTGACTAGATACCAAATGTTTCAGTGTAATTACAGTTATCTTTAAGGCCATTGTGTATTTTATATCTTCAGCTATTGTTTCTTAAATACGGCCACAGTTAAAAAAATGTATGTTTAAAAACAATGTGTCTGCAAACTATTAATTAATAATTTTCTACTCCCACCTCCATTGACACAGTTTCTTTAATAAAAATTGTCAGTTTTTTTGTTCATGCACTATGCTTTGTAACCTGTAACAATTTTAAACCATTTCAGTTTTCTCTATTCTTGCATAAATGTCCACCAGTTTACTATTTTGGTACTGATGAATGGATGATGGGCACTCAGTGGGAAAATAACTTTCTGAAATCAAGGTGATCATAATGAATAAGGGTGATAATCCCTGGTGTGAAGTTTAGTTGCATATGTGTAATGTGGAGCATCTTCCTCTAATTATGAAGTCAGCAGTAATAATTTTTTCCATCATTGAAGTTGATGGCTTTCATATGTTTTACCATCCAGGGAATTATTCCCCAGTCTAGGTGTCTTTCACACTTGTTTTAGGTATCTGATATAAAGTATTTTTGAACAAGAAAATGGATATTTACTGCTTTATAAGCTTACATAAGTGAAAAATTGGAAACATGTGTTGATGTTATTCATTTAATGCTGAGTATCTCCAAATTTTTAAATGCCTTACCTGTATTGAAAAACACGCAATTAATTAAATGTATTAATTTAATTATAGTTGCTCTTTTGCTATATAAGGAGACACAGAAAATTGAAGGAATGATGTTTAACCCCTTAACCATCACATATTTTTGTGAAAATTTTCCTCAAATTGTTGATTTTTTTTTTATTGCCCTGTTTTATATTAGTCACAAAATTGTAATATCATAATATACAAAATTGTAATTGTAACATCATAAATTGTAATATCATATATGTAATGATATCATTCATTAGTAACATATTTCTTGTAAAATTTTATTACAGAATTTTGAAACAGTATGCAATTGTCTGTTCATTTCTTATTACTTACCTTGTTTGGCGCTTTCTTTACATCACAAATTTCGCATGATGTTTTAGTGCAGAAATTGGTATTATCAAATAATGTAAATACTGCTTTGCTACTTTAAGATGATAATATTATTCACAAAAAATTGCGTACTGTTTTTTAATATTTAAAGCTATGTAGGTATTTAAAATTGTTTTTTCTTTCCCTCAGGTTACACACAGTTATGTGATTGGTGGAGCGTCGGTGTTATTCTTTATGAGATGCTTGTTGGTCAACCTCCATTTTATGCTAACACTCCTGCTGAAACTCAGCTAAAGGTAATTCATTTTAACTATTTGTAATTTATGTAAAATAAACATTTTATGTGTATTAATGTGCATGTGCATTTTTTATTAACAGGCAGTAGCTGAATTAGCTGCCCTTCTTGATATACAAATGACTAAATGTATGTTAAAGTAACATACAGAGAAATAAATTTAAATATTATGCATATTTAAAAAAAAAATTTCTTTACACATTTGGACATTTGGAAGTATGTTATTATTTTTCTTGTATTTGTTATTACAAAACCATCAGTTACATCTTAGAGGTCTTTTTGGGCTGCCCCAGTTGGTGCAATGTAAATAGTATAGACACATTTCTTAAATGCAAAATAAATTTGTATAGCACTTAAATGCTTCCTAAATGCAAAATAAACATTTTGTAATTCTAAAATACTTCGGAAAGATTTTTGTATAGAAAATTTTTCTCACTACCAGCAGCACTTACAGCAGTTGTAAGGTAAGTTTGCAGTCGAATTAAAATATTAAAAACCTTGTTTTAGAGATTGTATTTTAGAATAAATTACAAAATTCAGAAAGACAGCCCTTCCATATTACTGTTTCATTTTCCCTAGCAGCTA